GGTCTATATATATATATACAAGTGTCCTTCAGGGATATATATCCTTCAGGGCTATATATATATATACAAGTGTCCTTCAGGTATATATATCCTTCAGGTCTATATATATATATATACAAGTGTCCTTCAGGTCTATATATATATATATATGTGTGTGTGTGTGTGTGTGTGTGTGTGTCCTTCAGGTCTATATTTTTATATAAAAAGAAGAAGAGAACATAAAGTTGTCTCATTCAAGAAAAAAGGCAGGATCAGTCCATTAAATTTCCAAACCTGCAATATCTATGTTTTTTATAATGTCAATGAAATAAGATAGGTATGTTTTTTATTTTAATCGTCTTTCTAACTTAACTTTTCTATTACTATATTGGAATCACCATAAAAATTCTAATTTAAATTCATGTCCTTTGGTATTAGTTAAATATATTACTATATTGGAAATGTGCAAATAAAAAGTACTACTTTAACCCTTTCACTGCATAATTAGATTTCACCGGTGTTCCCCATTAGCTGTTATTCACCGTAAAAAAAATAAGTTTAATTTGACCTATTTTATTACTTTTCCAACCGGAAATGACTATAAAGTTGACATATTTAGGGTTAAAATTTCTTGAAAAGAATATTATATTGGAAATTTAGGTTTTCAACAAGAAAATATGCACAATTTCTTGAAAATGGTTTTTCAATATATGACAGTAAAATTGACCTAAATGATGCAATAAGAGGCCAAATGTATTCGAAAAGCATGAAATTGCATTTTATATATAGATATATCAGTATTGATGTCATGTAGAACAAAACAAAACAATACAATGATGAAGTTTTTTATGATTGATACTTGAAACTGCAGGTACTTGATGAAACTACATAACTACAGAATTGAAGAAAAACAAAGACAATGTACATTTTGTACATTTCACAAAAACTTCATTTATTCACGATCACGGTTTTGCAGTCTCTACCCGATGATGTCTTTACTGGCAAAACCATGATCTATGAATAAAATTGGCATAAAAATGTAGCTAAAAATTCAAATTTTAATAGTATATCAATTTTAAGTAGTTAATTTTATGAGGTAATATTTAAAAAAAATCCTGAATTTCCTCTAGTATGAAAATTGACATTTTTTCCCTAAGCATCCCCTCTTCTCTAATTTATTTACAACCCCTCCAAGAAGTACGAAATCTAATGTAAATGAATTTAAGTTACTCACTATAATGTTGTCATTGCTCAGGCAAAGCACAATTTATATAACCTTTAATCTTATTTAATTATGGAGCCATAAAATAGAAAATTAGACCCCCTCTTGACATGCCCACCAATAGAAAGCCAATATTTTAATTGATCAAATGAAATATTATTCTACGTTGTTTCTTTGTACAGATAATTGTCTATTTCACTTCCAGTTCAAACTTTATTCCCATGGGAAACACACATTGACAAACTTAGCTGAATTTTTAACGGTTCTTGTCGCATCGTTAGAAAGCCAGAAAAATTGTTGTAGTTATGGGACATTGTCTACTTTTTCATTTTATTATTCTGTGTTGTTTAGTGCATTATTTAACGACACCATTTTTAAACTACATTCTGTGCATGTTACTGAGCTACATTCAAAATTTAATTAAACCACTTTACTATAAATGTATTTGAATGAAAGTCATAATAATTTTCCTAAATTAAAATGTATTTCTGATAGGTACTTCCCTCCACTCACAAGATTAGCTTTTCTCGTTTTGTGCTGCTCTTTGTATGTAAACTTTTTCAGAAACACATGCCATAATCCTTCATCATCCCTCTGTTGGAATCCAAAGTTCCAACACATCTATCATGCACCACCTCACCTCTCCACCAACAGGAGAGCACTACTATCACGCGACTCCTTCTACATGCCACTACCACACTATCATTTCGAAGTATGGCAGAAGACATGATCACCGGAAGTTTGTGGGGAGAACGTGTGGGAAGTGTGAGAGGAGGAAAGTACTTATCAGAAATACATATTTCATTTAGGAAAATTATAGCTTCCAATACGGTACTCTCCCTCTTCTCACAAGATTAACTGAAATCCCACATTGAAATGGAGGAGGGACCGGTTCCAGGGAAGGTTAGGTGTTTCCCCAGGAAGCATCCAGAGGACACCCCTAAAATGAGGAGCAGATGAGGTGATCTGAGGACAGGCACCACACGGCATCTGAGCCAGATGTCTCTTTGCCAGGAACGATCACGTGATCAGGAAGACCAGACATGGTGGAACATGAAGGGAGAACATTCACGTGGGAGAGGATAGTTTAGCAATGTGATTTTAAACACTCAATCATATGATGGAAAGTGGACATATGAGGATGTCCATGGTGTAGAGTGGCTAGGACACAACAGAATGTACTCGGTAAGTCACCTACATTCAAAATCACACTCACTGGGTATTGACATCCTCGCGAGGGTAGGATGAGGAACATACTGTCTTCACCTCAAGTCCCAGAGTCAAGAGGAACTTAACAATAGACTCCAGGAACTCACAAGGTAGCCTAATACCAGGGATCCAGAATCCGAGGGAAGTCCATTGCATGCACTCAACCCCGCAACTGTGAAACTAGCTGTAACGACCCTAGGTGGTAACATCTTCATCACCAAATGAAGGAAAACACATGACAGAAGCAAAAGCAAGCCACATAGACCTTCTGCAACTCACAGAAAAGTCCAGAGAGGAAGATGGACAACCTGAAACCTGTGTGAGGACTTAGGTGATTGGTTCACTCAATCTCCAAAACTTAACTTGCTGAATACCAACATCCACATGAGGGTAAAAGGAGGGCACCCAATCAGAGGGATTAACTGCATATGAGCATCTCAACTCCGGGAATTAGTTACTCATTCAGAGGATCTTGTAACTCTCTCTATACCGGCAGAACACCACCACCCTACTCTGAACTGAATGGTTATAGCAGTCTTTGTGAACCCATCCAGCAGCTTGCCTCCATGGTCAACCACACCAGCATCTTGGAACTGGTAAGTGATAAGGACTCCTCCTGTAGTCCACTGGAAGAAAGGGGAAAAAGTGTAGTGGAGAGTCCAGAGGGATTGCAACACACAAGACAGTGCAATGGGTGATCACAAAACCCTATTTATAAAAGTAGACCACACCAATTTATTCCATCTAGGTAAGACAGGGAT